TTTGGGGGTTAATAAAGCCCTGTTTCTTTAATTAAGTTCCTGTGTTTGTGTTGCCTGACTGCTTGGTCCCTCACAATTGGTGGCAGCGGTGGGATCATTCAGTGGCAGGCACAGGGTTTTCTCTCTTTTTTTTTTAATTTCTTTGTTTTTCCCCCGGTTCCCCTCCATTGAGGAAAAATGGTTCGTGGAGGAAGAAGTGGGAAAGACCAAGGAGCACTGGTGAGCTCACAGATGCCGCAGGAGAGGCTAGCTGGGAGTGAAGAGGCTGACCAGGGAGCTTCCAGTGGTGCGGATGGTATAGAAGGTGAAGGAAAGGAGCCAACTCTGTCTGATTTGATGGCTGTTTTTCAAGCCCATATGGGGCAGCAGGAGGCCCGAGAAGAGAGGCAGAGGGAGATCGCTGCAAGACAGGAACAACGGTTTAAATCACTGCAACATCAGTTTCAGCTATTGCAGATGGAAGTGCAGGCCCGGACCTCACCACCACCAGATCCCCTACCAGCAGATGAGCCCCTGGATTTGGAGGAGCCTTATCTCCCTCAGGCCCAAGATGGGGCTATGGCTATAACCACTAATCCAGCCATGAGTGCGAAGCATGTAGGTGGCCAAAAGTGGACTGGATTTTTCATTTAATGCCGTTGCTGACTGGAAAAGCTAGAGGCGCATATGTGCATATGGATGTGGATGACGCCCTTGACTACGACAAGGTAAAAGGTGCCATTTTTTCTAAGTATGAAATTAATTCTGAGACCTATAGACAGAGGTTCCGCTCCCTGGAGGTTTACCCTGATGAACGTCCCAAGGAATTGTATGCAAGACTTAAGGAGCTTTATGGGAAGTGGTTACAGCCGAAAGGTAAAACCATTGCTGAGATTGGTGAAATTATCATATTGGAGCAATTCTTGAGAATGTTGTCCCCTGAGCTACAGATTTGGATCCGGGAACATGACCCTAGTTCGGGAATGGAGGCTGCTAAGTTGGCTGATGTGTTTGTGGCTGCCTGGAGGAAGGGACAGCCATGGAGCTACACCTCAGGGAAGATGGTAAAAGAGAGCCACAAACCTACCCAACAGCAGAGTCAGAAACTAGTGGCGGGTAAGCCACCTTTGTGGGAGAATCAGGCAGCTACTAGGCCATTAAGGCCTTTGGGTCACAAGCTAATTTGTTACCTTTGTGGAATAGAAGGACACACGAAACCTATGTGTCCTAAAAATTCAGCTAAGATAACACAAATGTGTGTGGTGCCGCGCCGTCATGCTGAGTCTGAGCCCCATAGGAGTATGTCGGTTAAAGTAGTACATACTGAAATTAATGGGACTGCTCTAAAGGCTTTGATTGATACAGGAAGTGATCAGACCCTCGTCAACAGAAAGTTTGTTACGCCTAATGTGGTTAACACCAGAGACACCATTCCTATCTGTTGTGTACATGGGGATGAGAAAAGATATCCAACAGCAGATGTGTACATAAAGGTAGAGGGTGTAATTTACCTTGTGAACATTGGGGTTGTTGATAACCTACCTTATCCAGCTGTGTTAGGTCGAGATCTTCCGGTGATTTTTGATTTGTTGGAGTCAGACAGAAGGCGAAAATGTAATGTTGCTGTTACTAGAACACAGGCTAAAAGGTCCTTTGAGTGCCTGGAGGGACTCAGTGCTCTACCCTTCTACAATGGTGAGTTGGAGATCTTGCCCGGGAAGTCCCGGAAAACCCGTCGTCAGAGAAGAGTGGAGAAATTCCAACACACAGTTGTGGAACCTCCAACCAACACTGATCCAGAGTTATTTTCAGGGTTCCAGGTGCCAGCCAATGTGATGGATATGCAGAGAACTGATCCATCTTTGAAATCTCTTTTTAAGGAAGTAAAGGAGAAGGAGCCAGGAGTTGGACTGGAATGCATTGAGGGCTTTATTTTGCAAAAGGGCATTCTCTATCGGCAGCAGGGGTCAGTGCGGCAGCTGGTGGTCCCCCAAGCAGTTAG